ACACTACTGTAACCCCAAACCTCAATCAGTACCTTTCCTCTCGAAAGCGTCCACTCTTACACCCTCCTCTTTCAGCCACTGTTTCACTTCCCTCACGACCTCAGTCTCGCCAACAGCTGCACGTACTGCCAAGTCGTCGGCCTCTACATCCATCACCTAACCCGGGCGACCCAATATAAGGTGCTTCCTCCAAGGTTCCAAAGCCTGGTATTACATCAGCTTTGCTCAGACCAAGTTTGCTAGCTGCAGCGGTGACAGCCGAATTGGCAGACACGAAGAGCAAATTCCACGTATGTTGTTCCGCATTCTCCCTCCGCTTCTTCAGTTGTTCCTGCTTACGACTAAGGCGTTTCTCGTCTCGTTCCACATGCTTCTTCGGTCGAGCCTGTGCTGCCTTGATACGCAGTACGCGGCCTTGGAAGACCTGCAAGTGTCAATGCGCGTCACAGGAAATCAGGTGGAATGCTAGAAAGTTAGCTCAACAGTGAATGCACCGAAACCTACAAAGCTTACTTTCCCATGCATCTCAGCCTTAGCTCGCACGGCATGCTCCGGGAATAGATAAGTCACATAGGCCATACCGCGAGACCTGCCAAACACACCGACTCAGCAGTCTCAGTCAATACCCAGAGAGTAATCGTGGTACTACTTTTTCGAATCCTCATCCCGCAGCACCACCACGTCCTCAATAGACCCGAACTTCCTGAACACACAAATCTCCTTGTCAGACGTTCACATTGTTGAGAGGCTCAAGAAACAGTTTTAAAACACATGTTCGCTTGCCTCAGCTGAGCTCAGGAGTTCCTTTAATAAGTATTGGAGTGCATATACGACTTAGGGTACAGAAGTGTTCAAAAACCAGTAAGAATTTCCCGGAATTTCCTCAGAATTTACATATCGTCAGCAACACATAGTTGAACATGTGCATATCATTCCACACTGTCAAAAAGTGACTTCACTTTGATACTTCACCCGGAGAGTGCCACGACTCCCACTAGGTATAGGAGCTCAGTTACTACTGGAAAGCCTTCTTAATATCATCCTCTGTAGCAATGTACGGCAAGTTGACCAACAACAGCCTCGCAGTGTCCATCAGGACGGCATCGGAATCGTCTCCCGCTGCCTCCGACCCCTCCTCATCCTCTTCGTTATCCTATCAAAGAGTGTTCGAGGGTGTCGACGCGACAGAAATTTCTCCCAATGAGCAACCCGGACTGCTGAAATGCCTCCCCTTCAGATCCCCTACTCCAAAATTTAAGCTAACTGAGTCGTCCTAGAGGCTCGTCGTTGTCGAGGACGAGACACCGGTAACTCAGACCACCTGAGCCCATGGCCGTGAAAGTACTACTTCATTTGCCTCCTTTGCCTCGCTATCCTTCTCTCCCCTCAGACGTCACCATCTTACTCC